CTATTCTGTGATTTAACTGAACGTTCGAAAATAAAATTATGAGTAGTAACCCTGGTCGGTGATCTTCATTTCTCTATTCTATGACATATTGTTTCGAAAGAAAACAATGAAAAACTACTGGTGTAATTATGATCACATCGATACAAATAAAAAAAGTGAACCCATATAGACAATAAGTAAATTACCTCTGATATCAGAAGTTTGTGAATCAGTCATACATGATTCATTATTCTTTAGCAGTGTGTCAAGTACACTGAGGACCAGGGAAAAACGGCCTTCATCGACCTCATCAAATTCTTGGCACACATTAAATATATGTGAATACCTCAAAATATTGTGGTTCTTAAGATTTCACTTAGACAGAAAAGACACAATTTCTCTATTTTCTAGAAAATTTTGCCAATGAAAATTCTCCAAATCTTTAATAACGGGACAAATCCTGCTTTTATACATTTATTCATTCTTTGGGTTGAAAATATGGACGATATCTACGACTTGCTTTAGCTTTTTCAATATCAACATCTGGATATTGTTCCTTAACTGCTTCCATATCCAAATTTGGGAATCTATTCATTAATCCAATGACATGATTGAAGTCTCTCCTGGAAATATTGAGAAGAGATTTAATAATGGAGAAAATGGAACTGGATTTTCTTACCTTTGCGCTCTCTTTTTTGCAAGATACTCTTTTTCCCTATATTTCAATAAAAATGCCTTAACGTCTTTATCCGGTTTGAAGAATCTGTATTTCTTATGCCATTCTTCATTCATCTCTTTAGGTATTGCATACTCAGATTCCCTAAAAATGTCGATATTTCAAATACTTGGAACAATGTTCATTAGTGATAAGTTGATGTCAGTAAGCAATATTTTTCTCTTCAAAAGAGTCGTTCTACTTATTATTATTTCATAAACAGGCTCCTGAAATAGTCTCGTCTTTCAATAGTTTTGACTTTTGAATGCCTGTATCTCCAGACCAGAGCACCAAGTAAAAACTAAGGTGAACTGTTGCAACGAATATTTATCAAACAATCTTAGACTATTCCTTGATTTAAATATTACATGTAATCAATGGACTACTGTTTCAAATAATAACTATGCATTCAATTTACTTGTAATAGAAAGGAAGACCAAATGGATCCTTTTCCATTCTACCAGGTCTTTCGCCAGTTTCTCCCGTCTCCAATTGATGATAAGCTACATTCCTTTCCCTAATGACAGTTTCAAGATTTTCCATTGAATCTTCCACTTTATCAATACGTTCAGGACTTGGGAATAATCTGACCTGATCATTACACTCTTGTTCCATAGTCAGCAACATATTTCGCTCCTTGAGTAATACATACCTAAAATAAAACCATTAATGTCACTTGTGAACTTGACACTTCATACTGACCATAATTTGTGTAAATCACTATTGGATTTAATTCTCAGCTCTTCAATTTTCCAGGACCTTCCACTTTTTACTTCTTCGGCTCCCCAATTCTTTTTATCATCAAAAAATTCCATCAAGTCATTTTTTGGGATGGTTGTGGAAATATTCCTGAAATTTACTTATTGATGAAAGTATTCGAATCGAATTTCAATTTACCTTATGCTTGGAAAGTTATGAACTGTCGGTGCTCTCAAGCTAGTGACTCTGAAATTATTAAATAAATTAATCAGACCCTTTAACTTGTTCAGGTTTTCCATTTTGAAAACGTCTGAAATTCGAGGTTAGATGAGTTTGATTACGTCATAACCTCACTACCGTTCTTTTTCTTTTCTTTCATTTTTTGGGATTGATAACTGGATTGTTGTCCAGTTTCGACGATTACATAACTTAATAATCGCTCTTCGGTTGGGTGTAGCTTGTCCTGCCTGAAGCAGTGCTACCAAATACTATCATATATTTTTGTACATAGTTCTCTTTGTTTTTTACTTTGAAACCTTCTTTTGCACGTGTGTTTTCCCTGAAGAGTGGACGACTTCCTTGAATCCCGGGACATCTGACTGGTTTGTTACCGCAATAGGGAGCTACCAGTGTTTCATTTAATTTTTGTGTCTTCTTCAAAATCATTACTTCTTGCTTATTACTGAAATTTCTTCTCACAATGGTTAACATCGTGGTCACAATTTCCTACATGGATGTTCATAAGTATTTGATTAATATTTATACCACAATCACGGCTTTGAGTATATTAGTCACAGACGATATGTGCACATCATTTGACGACTCTGGTTAGCTTTCATTTAAATATCTGAGTGAATTTCACTTATTCACTTGCGTACACAAAATTTTCCTGTCGGAATATCCACCTTAGCTACGAGAGAAACTAGTTTTACATAGTTGCTCCTCTCGCTATAAGCTATATAGAGACATTCCACAGTGACTTAAACTCGATGGTTCTCCTTCATTGCGACAAGGTTGTATAAAATCATTCCGATAACCAAAATTTAAAGAAAGTGTTGGAAAATTGAGGTTATAAGCTTGTTTCTCACACGACATTAATATAATAGCTTGACGCATGCCTCTACCCTAAATCGAAGGCTATCTTATGGAAATTTATTTGTAGAAACTGAAATTTCATTTATCATTTTTCTTCACAACTTCTTTGAAATATAAACTTTGAAAAGAAAAATAAACTTACCGTATGAAGTTGGATTTGGTAGCAATGCTTATACCTGAACATAGCCTGTTCATCACTTATCATTTTTATATATTATTTTTATCATTCTCTATTGATAATAAATATTGCAGGTTTTTCCGGGTTTCCCTGCAGCTGAAAAAGCAAATGCGCTACTGGAATCAATGAAGTCGTCCCGGAGCGCCAATTAATTTTTATTGTTGTTTTTATTGTAAAAAAAATCTTGTTTTCATTAGCATATTCCTAACAAATTTTTCCATCTGCTTACTTGAAAATCAATTGTTTCATGAAGATCTGGGATTTACCATAATGTGACCCATTCAAAGGGAAGAACTCTTATAAAATGTTTATTCTTCCACCGATTGTAATTATTTTTTTCATTGAGTAGACAATTGTCACTTTTTCCATCTCTAGTCAACTGATGTTATCAGACACGTCAAAAATGAACAATTTTGACGTACATGTGTGTACATTTGTGAATCATGGACAAAGGAGATTCCAACTCGCCAACGAAATGTCTTTACAAACAAGAAAAAAAATCATTTGAACTAATTGCAAAAATAGTTCCCCTTCTGGAGCATCCGATCACAAAAGATGATGTCCAGAGGCATACCGAGATGATTTCCAACTTCATCGATGTTTCGCAGCATGGATTTGTATCCTTTAAATAAGAATAATCTTCGTCAAATTTCCCGTTTCACAAATACCTAATTCGAATTCCTTAACTTATACTGCAGTTTATTCAAGACTTACCAGATATAATCCAGCTGATTTATATTTTAACTGATAGAATCGATGTAACTGGGGTATATGAAAAACTGTTGGAACGAATACTAGTTATTTGTTGTATACCACCCTTACTAAATAAGTCTTCAGATGTTCTTACCTTTGCAAGAGACTTACGAGAACTTTTTACTGCACTCGGTAAGTAATACAGAATGATCTATTCATTTTCTTTCACAATTTTCGGGAAATTGCAGTAGAAAACACTGTGTTTTCATACAAAAAGATGCCAGTTGGTGTCTGCATTTCCTTCATCCCTCTTGATTCCATACTTATTTATATTCGTGAACCATTCAATTTTAAATCTGTCTCGTCAAAATTTATATAAGATGCTACACATATAACATACTTTGGCAATAACAATTTTTAAGGATATCTACTGGTTTGTTTAAAGAATAATAATCTTCGAAATATTGTTGTAAACGCTTTGATAAATTTATTGAAGAATAGTCCGAAACACAAATGGTATTCATCGTTGGAAAGTCGTAAAAAAGCGGCTGATGATAGTAGATTATCTGAAATCTTGGGACAGCTACTGGCCGTTGCAGACGATGAAATATATTCAAAACTGTTAACGTTGATTACGTTGATGATCAAAGATTGCAAAAACTCTTGCAAGTATAAAATTCTAGAAATATATTAGCTTTTCTTCATTAGACAAAACTGTTAACAACATATTTTTTCTAGGTAAGGAACTCTTGCTCCAAGATGCGTTGAATTCTCTTTTGAGAAGAATAGAACCTACATGGAGAGGTCGATACCGCGACATTCATTCAATAACTTCCATATCGGGTCAAGAAGTTTTGCATTATGATATTACTTCGTTTATAATATATGAGTTACTGGATTATTTGGAGAAACACAGGGCTGATTTAGAAGATGTTAGGAATATTGATCGATTTTCGATATGGTAATTTGGGTTTTTTAATGTGGATATAAAATGTAAGGAGGTAAGGGGTTCAACGATTGGACTGAAAAGTTCATAGGCTAACATAGAAAAAAAAATTGATAAATTTTCATTTCACTATTCAATATAGTGGCCTTCGAGGGTGATACAACGATTATAGGAGACATACAATATGATACGATTCGTCTATAGCCCCAAAATAGGCCTCAGTTTCGCTAATTACCTCTTTATCGGCGCTAAATATGTTTCTAGTGAGCATTCTTTTGAGATACGAGAACAAAAAAAATCACTGAGGGCCAGATCCGGAAGATACGGTGGATGGAAAAGCAATTCGAAGCCCAACTCATGCAAATTTGCTATCGTTTTCATTGATTTCTGTCACGGTGCACACTGTCTTGATGAAACAGCACTATCTTTTTTTCCAAATGGGTTCCGATGTATACCTACCAACAACCACCAAAAGATCTATGGGAGCAAGGCTGAAGGAGCACGCAAGAAACTGCAGACTAGGCCAAACGGATAAGTTGGCTGTGACGGAACATGCACTCAGAGAAGAAAACCACAGAATTCTGTTTGAAAACACGATACATACATGCAATACGCATGAATACAGATGGCTCAAAAACCAAAGAAGACTCCAGATCATTGTGGTGGTGAATGGGAAAAATACCAGCTTGGTTCACAAAAGAACTGGCTGGTATCTCAATCGCCACAAGACAACGTGTTACCTCAGGGCTAGTACTAGAGTGCCACCAAGGTTTAGCCAAAGCCTCGGTAGATAAAAACATGCTGTGGTGGGTTAAAGGGCACAACAGGAATGAAGATAATCGTGTTGCCGGCTCTTTAGCCAAGGAAGCGGCTGGACTAAGAATTTTAGGATCCAGTGACACCTACGGCCCGATGACTTCGACAATTGCGGAACTAGCTAAACGTCACACCCATGCTCAATCCCTAAAGAGATGTGATGGAATCAAAGGATGCAATCTTGCCAGAATCACCCTGGGCGACCCTGGGAAGCTGGAGCTGAAGAAATATCTGGTGATGACCAGGAAAACCCTACGCTTAGCAGTAGGATTTTGACTGGCCACTGTCAACTGAAGAAACACTTCCATAATATGGAGTTAGTGGACATACCTCTATGCAGGATGTGTGAACAGGAAGATAAAACTGTCAGGCATGTCCTATGCGAGTGTCTGGAGTTATCGTCAATAAGAGAGTGTGTGTTCGGCGAGTCTTGGCCTACACCTGCCGATATAAAGGAGATGTCTCCCAGTGATCTGTCCATCTTCCTGGAAAAGACAGGATGGACAATGACCTAGGAGGACAACTCCTCGGGAGGATGAACAATAAGTCACATATGGCCTAAGTGCTGTGGGCCTACACGCACCTTCCATACTCTACAGATACAGATGGAATCCCATTCTAAGAAGTTCAAGAAAAGCAAACAGCATGACGGTAGGTAGAAAAGGGTCGACGAATGTTATTGACAATTTATCTAATCCACGTACACGTATTATCACACCAGACTACCCGAGTCAATATAAACACGCTTTACGCAATTTACCTGATCAAGGTACAGGTATTAGCACACCAAACTACCCGAGTCAGCATAAATACGCTTCACGCAGCCGTAATATCCATTCATCGGATATTAGGATGTATAAACCTCTGAAGAAGCTAGCCACTTGCACCAACGAAACTTCAGGAAAAAATTCCAAAAATGGACGACCTTCAAAAATAGTGAGACTGAAAACTGTATTGTTACGTTTTCTGCGTGGGTTGACCAATAATTCACTACAATGAATAATCAAACTTAACTTTATTTCACTTCAAATACAATAAGCCCTTCAACTAGAACTTAATTGAATGTCTATCGCCTTACTAGATCGCTTCGCGTACCGCACTGTAACTTCCACTTGACTGTGTCGATATGCTCGTTGCTAGCGTTTATAATATAGTAATCGAACGCACTAGAAAATTTCGGCGAAATTCCATCGAAATCGGTAGCATTACTCTCGCTACATCTAAAAGCGGCGAACATCGTACATTCGCGAGCTACGTCACGATTGGTTTATGACTACCAGTGGCGGCCGGCGTTATTTTCTTTAGGGCATGATTTACAGCAGTAGTTTCATTTGTTTTCAGGAATATACAATATGCGTTCAAAGCATTCGTAGTATGCGATAAAAAATTAGATCGAAACAATGTATTAGCGATGAAGATTAAACTAATGGATCTCTTTCCGAAAGCTGAATTCATTGCTAGCGGTTTATGTGAAAGTAAGTATAAGAAGACAAATTATGAATAATTCTGGTAAAACTGATGAGCGACCTAATAATAACCTGAAACGTACATAACAGGTACTGTGTAAAATACTTGCTCAAAGAGACTCACCATTTTTAGATAATGAAATTATTCGCTTTTAGGCGTACTTGAAGTAACAACACGTTACATTTCCTCCAGGAAGTTGTTCGAATCGAAGTATTTATCGTGCGAAGACGACTACATTCTTCTGAAACTTGCACTTTTAGATATTCTCATGGTGGCTGAATTGGATGGGGGGAAAAGGGTAAGGTATTAGTTGTGAATAGTCAACTCCTCGAGAAGTGAAACATGATTGGGTTAGTGAACTGAATGAGCGTGTTGGTACAAACAAGTTTCTATTCAACCAGTCCAACTGTAACGCGTCTCAATTCAAATTATGAGGTTGTTTTGCGCAACAAACACGATCCTTTTTTGAATCGGATCGTCACGTGTGATGAAAGGTGGATTCCTTACAACCGAAGACGTTCAGGAGAGTGGTTGAACACTAGTGGCACAGAGGCTCTTTCTAAAGGCGAAAATTCAACAAAAAGAGACCATGATTGCTGTGTGATGGTCAGCGGCTGGTGAGATTCACTTAACTTTTTGCAACCGGGCCAAATCATCACAGCAGAGTCATATTGTGATGAAATCAATGGAATGCACCAGAAAGTGCGTCAGCAGCGGTCGGCGCTGGTCAACAGAAAAGGTCCGATCCTGCTCCACGACAACGCTCGTTCACACGTTTAACATATAATTTTGAAGCAAATATGGATCGCCGTTGACGTCATTCAACAGTTCTTGAGCGATACTCCATGTGACAGTATTTTTGGTCAGAATTCAGCAATTTTGTAACGAACTTCGCTGCCACACGCTTCTTGCCCAAAATTTTCGAAAAAATTGCATGGCATAAACCAACCGGTATGTCGACATCCTGAGCAACTTCTCTAACAGTGATTCAACGATTCTCCATAACAATTTTCTTCACTTTCTCAACATTTTCATCGGTTTCATCAACAAACTAAACATGTTAAACAGTTTGAACTTTAACCATATGTTTGAGACTACTGTACCAACATAAAAAAAGCTACTCGAATGTAAGTAGCCCGCGAAATTTGAACATTTATTTTAACAGTCCACGTTCCTACTTTAACAGTCCACGTTCCTACATATAGGTATTCCATATTCTAGGTTTTAGAAGCTGCAAGAATCATTCATACACTACTGAGGTCGATTTGGCGTACCGGAGAACAACGATTCCTTTCGAAATCCCATTTTTGTGTCATTCAAATCTTCTTCTGGAATATTCTGAAGAAGCTTGTACCCCATCTGAGCGAAGAATTTATTGAGAATTCCGGACCATCCATGTATCTCAAAAACTATTTTCCTACATAAACTGTTCATCCGTTGACCACTAGTACATTTTTCAGGTTGGCGCGCTGCATGAAAGAAAGCAAAATAAAACAAGAAGGATTAACAATCCTAAGGGAATGTTTGAGTACTACGAATCATTTATTGAAAAACGATCCTGGTGAAGTTATTGCGCATTCTTTTTTGTATAATGATGGATCTAGTATACTGCTTAGTAAGTTGATGTTTTCTTTTGTTTATGGAAGAGTGAATTATTATCGTGTCATTTTTTTATTTAAGTGATAATTTTGTTTATCTTCAATGTTATGTTGCTTAATTTTAAAGATAGAGTTTGTTTTATACTATGTAGTGATAGTGATGATGTCAATTTTTCTCTACTATTTCAAATTGAATCAAAGCGCCGAAACAGTCCGTCTTCTTTGCTTTGGCACAACCAAAATGATCCTTATTTGGATCGGACCGTTACGTGTAATGAAAAGTGGATCCTCTACGACTACAGAAGACGTTCAAGACAGTAGTTGGACACCGATGAGCCACCCAGGCACTTCTCAAAGGCAAAAACTCATCAAAAAAGACCATGGTTACTGTATGGTGGTCAGCGCATTGAGTGATTCACTATAACTTTCTGCAACAGGGCCAAACTATCACCGCAGAGTCCTATTGTGAGGAAATCGACGAAAGGTACCGAAAATTGCGTCAGCAGTTATTATTATTATTATCTTCCAAGTACTTTGATAACTTTCTCACCGGTAGAACTTTCGCCAATCAGGACCAGGCAAAAATCGACTTCATCGAATCCGGAGCAGACAATTTTTATGCTAACGGAAATAATCGATTTGCGTTACGTTGGAAAAAGTGCACAGGTTGAAATGAAACTTATTCCGATCAAATTGAATAAGTATTCACTGAGATATAACAGATTTGAAACAACCTGATACACAAAACAATCTAGTGGTACCCAAATTCTTGCATATTTCGGCATATTATTTCTGTGGTCTTCTTCAATTTCACGGATTACCTAGATTTAAGCCAAATAAATGAATATTTAATAGCAGATTTGTGCTATACATGCCTAGTTATAGATATTCGAGAAAAATAAAAATAATCGATCGTAAACGAAAATCATTTATTTATCGACGAAATCACTTTTAGACTTATGCGAGCAGTTTTTATCAGAACCGATCATAACTGAACCGATGCAAACCTGTCTGAGATTGATATTCTGCATATTTAATGAACTACATCAAAGTTCGACCGATCTACCTGTTGTTCTCGTTGAAATATCCTTAAAATATTTCAAACGAATCCTGAATCTCAATTTGAACGAAATGATTTTTGATAACAAAATCATAATATGTCTCATGGATTTCGTGTGGGAGACAATCATCAAATCGGAAAACTTGTCAAAAATGTTCATCGAAAGTATGGGGGTTTATATGATGTTGGATATTATACAGGTGAGTTTTTGTATTTGTGTTTTTTGCTTTTCAGTGCAAATGTGAAGTATGTTAGAAACAAATTATTTATAATAATACGTTTTTTCGATGCCAATGATCAGCCTCCACTCGAAGAGCAGAAACTCTCTATATCTGCACCACAAAATAGTAAACAATTATAATGTGTCTGTATCAGGCTGTCCTTCCACCTCTGCTCCTTTCCTACTCACGGCTCATGCTTGACCTAGGTCAAGCGATAACGATAACGTCATATCAACTATGATTTGAAACTTATTCGTGATGATTCAAAACTAGCGTGAGGTTGGTTTTGAAACGGAATTTGACGTTACCGTTACATCTGTTTCTGCTTTATTTTGGTCGTTATAGTTCATAAAGTGCTGAAAACTTCTTATCAAATACGTTGTAAGAATGTACAAAATGAAGCTGGAAAATTATTGTATTCACAAATCCGATTCTAATTGAGATAAGAGAAAATTGAAAGTTTGTTTTCATTATTGAATTTGACATGTCTGGCGAATCTTATTATTAATGACGTCACTACGAACCGTTTTTGAATACACGTTCGAATACGGATAAACGCCAGAAAACACCTCTAGCACCGTATAGAAGTGTGTACTTCTATACTGTTCCTCTAGTATCGACTTGTTGAATACGGGAGGGGAAATAAGAAGAGGAACCGAGCAGGAAGAAAAGGAAGAAGGTGGGGAACCACACGGCATCTCGTCCTATCGTAGTGTGCGGAGGAGGCAAAGGATAGACCACGTCCCGTCATGTTCGCGTCCTGTGCCGTTCTGTCGTAGTGTCCGCTTTGCTTTAGATGTAAAATTTCACCTCACGTTGTCTGCAATATTTTGGAGATGTAACCATATTTGCTGGATTGGGATGTGCTTCGCATTAGAGTATTTCTCATTTACTATTTATGTATTGCCAAAAAAACCTTTGGACAAACTCTTACATAGACAATCATTTCTTAACACATTTCAGAAATTTCCATTTCCTGTACAACTGATCACCCTTGGCGCGCTTGTTGACCTTTGCGAAGATGAAAGTTGTGTCCCATATTTGCTAACTTGGAAAGGCACGAAAAATGTAAAATTCATTCCACTCCTGATGCAAATATTTCGTTATGAAAATAACTTGCTACAAGTGAAATGTGGAAGTTTCGGCCAAATTTTAGGTAAATATCAATACCTCCTATGAACTGCTTGTCTTCCACGACAAGATATATCCATTTTTTCATATCAGGCACTTGATGAAAAATGAAGCCGAGATTATTGAAACCAATTCGGTTGGTTTTCGGCCAGATGTAAATCATTTATTGCTTGAAAAGTCTAACATCGCAAAACTTCTCGCAGTGATATAGCGAATCTTGTTGCATGAGTAGTGCAAAAACATCGCTATGACATCTTGGTTGACATCACAGGTAACTTTCTTAAATCCTCGCAATATTTTGCATATGTAACCTTGTTTGCAGGGACATAGTATAATATGCCGAAATTCATTTCCTAAATATTACTGACAATTTCAATATTTTTTCAAAAGTACAGTACAATGTTCATCTCGATAAGCAGCGTGTGATACAAATGTTATATCTGAAATTACTGAAACGAACTCGGTACGAGGCAGATTAATTCATCACTTGTACAACATAGCATCCCTGTGGGTTCGACAATAATTGACCACACTGTACAATTCAAGTTAACTTCATTTCACTACTCGTACTCTGTCAATACAACACAAAAACTTCAAAGTGAACTTCAGACTAATACGCAAATGTCTGCTGCCTTATTAGCTCACTTCGTACTGTACTAGCCTTCTCTGCCTATGGGTAATGTTTATATATCCCTATGGAAGTCAATACAAATAATTTTGAAGCGATGTGACACCTAGAATGATCGCGAAGCGCAAGTCTAGTTGAGCGCGACCAAAAAAGTATGTTGCTGCAACATCCTGACGACGTCATCACACGTCACATTGTGATATCGCCGCAATATTCTGTAATGTAACCGTGTTTGCTGGGCAAGTTGAATTAATATAACCTTGAATTTGAATCTTGGTTACTTCTATTATCTATCAATTTTTCATATTTCTTGAATTGCCCTGATGAAAGTTGATACGCTACTTTATCGAATTGCTTTTATTTGTATTAACACCGTCGAAATAGAAAAACGCAAAAATTACAATTTTTGTAAACTATTCCCTACTATCTACGCATCTTGTCGTTTCTGGCTAGTTGAGATATTTGTTAGCATATTTAAAGTAATATTTAGGAAAAAATATTGTTCAATTGATTCAATTTTCAATGTAATTTCCTTGAAGACTGTTAGGGATTATTTTTACATCGCATCAAGTGGTTTCAGATAATCTAACTGAATTTATGTAGTTGTTTTGATTCTCCGTTTGTAATTGATGAGTGGGCTTCATGAAATTTTATTCTACTTACTGTATTGCTTTATCAACTGAATTTACTTGTTTAATAAGAAGAATGATAATAGAAACTTTAATTTTTTACATACAATGAACTGTTGAAGCGTGAAAATTGAAGGGTAGGTTCTAAACATATATATCTGTTAATTCCAGATGCTGCTTTTCCCCTAGTGGGCAAGGAACAAAGGGACCAAACGTTTTCAGATACCCGAAACTTGAACAGTCATCCGACAATAGCCGATTTATTTTTGAGTAGTAGGCCAAAGATATATGCGCTTTTGAAATTATTGCAAGAACGACATGAGGAGGTATTAAAAATTGCCGAGGAAGAGTATAAAATCGAGATTGATGATTTGACAACGAAAGATCGGGTTTGTATATCACTTATACGAATTATGAAAAATCTCTTCTAGATGCAAGCTTATCCAACAAAGTGGGGATCGTCCTGAGATGATGCCCACTTGGGCCCTATTTATAATATGTTTGGGTGAATTTCAAATGATCTCAAAGACTAATACCCAACTGGTTTTTTTGTTACCTACTTCCAAGTCATGGAAAATCCAAACGAGTACTTACCGTTCTTGTATTGTCAAACAAATGTTCAACTCATATAAACTCTAATAAAGCATCTAAATCCATCTGTCTTGATAGCAAAAGTTGAGCTTAAAGTAGCCGAATACAAGCATCGAATTGTTTTCTGTTTTTAGGAGATAATAGTTAAAGAAAACAACTTTTGGATAATTTTGGAAAAATACGCAATAAATTCACAAGATAATACATACACATTTATTTTTGACACAATGATTACTCGTAAATAATTTTTATTCTGTTAGATTACCGATCCATCACATTGAGGGCATCCTGAATGTTATATAATAATAATATAGTTATCTATTAACCATGTGGTAATAATCAAGTATTCGTAGAATTTATTTATTAAATTCATATTAACTCCACTTGACAGATCACATAATTGTTGATTGCTCTAAACACGGAACACATATATATGACATGCCACCATTTAAGTGACAACTGAGTTTGTATGAATGAACACAGAACACATATTATGTCACTGAATACTACTTTCAGTAAAAACTTTCAAGGGCTATTTGTGAAAATTTAAATGAACTTGTGCTACTACTTTCAAACCTCCACAAGTAGCAAATCCGAATTGAGAAGAACGAAAGCATACTCCCAGCATCTTCTATAGAAGGAATTGACAGCAATTGGTCCTATTCTATCTCGTTTCTCTTCAAACTACATAATAAAGCTCCAAATAAAATGGGACAAACTTGCCAGAAAATATCAGGAAAATTTGTTTGTGAAAAGCTCTCAAGGTATCGAGCTCTCTAGAATAACCGGCTAGAAAAGATAAGCTCTTTGCGGAAAGTTTTTTTTCAAAACAAAAAAAGTGATGAGGATTAAAAAGATTCTGAAAAGAGTTCCGATAGATTCATCCTTTCATAAAATTTTGACAGCTGATGACAAGTCTCCATCTAATACACTAATATCTCAGTTATAACTCGTTTCAGTAAAATAATTTCTTGAAATTTTTCACAACATAATTTTTCAGTTGACGAAAGTTCCTTTTTTACGATGATTTATTTTGGTCTGATTATGTCAGTTACAGAATGATTTGTGACTGTGATTGTAAACGAATAACTCATCAAATCATTGTCCAGTCACTTATATAGGAATTCATTTAGTGAACTCCGTCTCTCATTTTCAATTGCAGTAAATTTTCAACCCGTTAGTTGCATCTCACACGTGGAAATAACGAATATTATTGTTATTGTTCTCTTCCGTCACTTTGTGTCTTTATGTTCACCAGTAAAATAAAGAGGGGTTTTCTCTTTTGAAACTTTCTGTATGCTGAAAGAAGTCATAACCAAAAAACGAACCAGTGCCAATGTACGATACGTTTTTGACTACCTGAATTTGATTTGTATCAAATGTTACTGTTGAGTATCAATGTACGTACACTGTTTTTGTTGCCCTCTTGAGTGACTTTGGTAACTAGAGAAAGCAAATATTTCAAATTGAACCAAACTGTGCTTACCTCGAGCATTCGAACGACTTATCCAGTTTTTGACGAAATATTGTATATTGGGGTGCGCTATAGTCATAAATGAAGGCAAGCATGATATCGCGGTCTGAACATTAAAATTGTAATACAAATAAAAATGCTTCCAGAAAAAACCAGGGTGAAGAAAATAATAATAGTAAATTAAAATTGAATTCAAACAAGAGGTAGAGACGGAACAGTTTCTTAAACAGATATTTTGTTGATTTCAAGGTTACAATGTTGATGGCTGAAAATTTTCTAGCACTGAAGCTAGGAGAAGCGTGGGTGGAACTAGAAATAGAATTCACTGTGATGAACTTCAAACCTCTTCCAGCAGACTACAAAATAATGTCTACGCTTGTGACAAGATATCACAAATGGGGGGAATATTTGAAGGAGACTCAAAATGAAATATTCAGGGAAGGCAAAGAAAAAGTAAGATATGTTCACGGCAATAAATCCTCGATGATCTATTTTATTGATTCTCAAGAGAAATAGCGTGTCCAAATAATGTTATTTATCATTACAGGAACTTATCGAAGAACAAAAACTGTACAACACGTTTGGCCAATCACGTATCAAAGAATCTCTAGAGGCTCTCGAAGAACTGAGATATATTGCGAGATGTACAGAACATATGTTCCGTATTTCGCAAAAATATAAACAACAATCACAAATAGAAAAATCTTTGAAAAAAATTCCTTTTCGGGGAAATCTGAATAAAACTTACTTCACAACCTTGCAAGTGACGGTAAATATAATTTTCATTACTATACCTTTTCTATTTCACAGAAGAATAAACAATTGCCACAGTGTCAGCGTACGGACTATTATTGTTGTTGTTATTAGTCTAAATGATTGTTATTGATGCCTTTGTCCATTTCTTGCAGTAGGTAAATTCATGTTTCTATCCCAATTGTTGTCATAAACCACCGACAATTCATCACTTCTTTCATGGAATGATAAAATATTGCTTTCTTACCATTATTAGCAGCGGCATCTTGACTGGAATTTTCGACCTTGATTCGTCAACGTTTCCTTTTACTCTATTATTCACGATGTTTTCGAAGTTCTCATTCATTTCAACAGCTTGTAGAGCTCATCAAAAGAAGTTCTCTCTATCTCTTTGTATGACCGTTGCTTTCTTCTTGGGCGCATTTGGCCAAGTTCCTCCTGACAACACTTGACAGCTTTCGCAGGGAGGGGGTGAGCAGCAGTCTTGCTTGTAGCAAAGCTGCCACTCTCAACTGAAAAAAACTTCAGTATTTCAAAGTTCGCCTCCTTTTCTGTACGTTTGGACAACGAAGTGAATTTAGGACTATGTCCACTGCATTTTGAGAAATCATCCAACCCACGGATATTTGTAAATTTAGCTATTAGACTTTGTGACACAGGATAGTGCCAAAAAACAACTAGAAGGTGACGCTGAAAGATCTGTTCTATTTGAAATGTTACGAATTGAGCGAAACATTTTTAGAAATGGTCGAGATGAGCATAGCAGCTTTAGTGAAGTTCCTTTCTAGAGTGGAAGACAATACGGCAAGGACAGTACTATCCTTTGTATTATCAAAGGGCAAACTCGTTATAACATGAAGATCATTCATTCTAGAACAGTTGTATTTTGCCAGTGCCTTAACATTTCCACAACAATCATGTTTGGGCAGTAGAAATTTCGTATGCCTTCGCTCAAAGGTTTAAGTTAGAGTAGTGATGGCATGCTTATTGGACCCCAATTTTTCACTTCCACTGAAATATATTTAAATTTGGTTTGGCACAATCTGCCGCAATTATTTGAAGATGTCCCTTTGAATATGAATCAGAATATGTGGTTCCTACCTGATGAGGCTCTTCCACATTTTAGACACAACTGTGCCATCATAAAGCACAATAGACCCATTTCGCAGCCTGCTCGCTTCCCAGATTCAACGCCTTATTTTTTCCGTGGGGTAATTTGAATCATTTGGTGTATCACGATGGAGGAGTAAATTCTGTAAGAGTTTCAAAAATGCATTCAAGATGCCTGTGATAATAGTGACGCAAAGATGTTATTTCAGAGGCTTATGAGGAGTCTCGGGTACGCCTTGCAAGACTTTGCATTAGTCGAACAAATTTATTTTTCAAAATTCAATAATAAGTATATTTTCCAGTGGATTATTAATTCCGCTGCTGTTGTCTTCATGAAAATCATAGTTCAATTTTTGACGTGGTTAGCTGTGTCTAAGAAATGTTCTGTGTTGGTACATTAATAATTAACTCTAGAATGTTTACAGTTTTGTCAGGATCTCTCAATTCTAATAAAATAATATTATTTCAGCCAGTTTTCAATCAAGAAGTCACGTTAAAAAGTGAAAAAACAACAGAACACGAAGAAGAGACCATCAATCTCGTATCTCCTGGAAATTCCCTCGTTCTTGAGGATCAAGATCTATTTCTTGAGGACACTTTGATATCCCAAGAATTTGAAACATTGTGTAGCTAAAAAGGAGTTCCTTCGATTCATCCATTGAACAGTTACTTACATAATCACAAATTATATCACACTGATGCGTAATATAAACCATGTTACACCCATTGCAATAATTGCGTAAGGTTTTTGTCCGTTTTCATGAATTTACTTTGAACTGAAATACCTCAGGGAATACTTAGTCAACTTAATCGAAATAAGCACCATTCAAATCAGTCAGCATGAAAATTGTGTGCTCGGGATTCGGCGAAATCGACGAAGGCCGTTTTTGCCTGTTTCTGTGGCGAAGGTTCTATCGGTGAGAAAGTTATCGAAGTGCTTGAAATGATTGTAGTCAGTTGGCGAGAGGTCTGGGAAGTAAGGTGAGTGAAGCAGAACTTTGATGCTCAATTCGTTCAATTTTAGGATGGTGATTTATGAAACGTGCGGACGGGTGTGGTCGTGGGGCAGCATCAGACCTCTTCTGTTGACCAGTGCCGGCTTCTGACGCAGTTTTCGGTACATTTCGTAGATTTCCTCACATAAGGACTCTGCTGTGATGGTTTGGCCCGGTTGCAGAAAGTTCAGATTTTTCAGAACTAGCAACTATTACAACATATATTTCTTTGACAATATTTCCATAGATGGCGTCGTAGTGCCGTCCTATTGAATTTAGAGGCGTCATTTTGAAGAAAAACCATTACTCGTGTTAAGTCGTTGGGAAGAGAATCTCATATTCTATCAAATGGTTTCTATTCAAACTTTTCGACTGAAATAGGTTTTCAATTTTCATTAGAAACATTGACTCCAATGAACTATATTTTTGTTCTGAATTTCAAATTTCTTACCCCAAAATAACTAACTGGAAACCGTGTACAATGAATACATTGTCACTCAGTATATAGCAGGTAATTCAAGAGTGAAACATTCATAGCCAGTAATTTAGCAAATATATTCTCATTAAAACATTGACTGACTACATTCATCTCAATACCTTTGATCTGCTTAAAAGAGGAGCTAAAATATATATCTTTTTTTAACGTTCTAATCAAACAAAATAAATTGTTTCAATCCACTTTTCAAAGATATTGATGCTGTCAATATAGTGAAAGTCGTAGTTTTCTTTCTTAGGTTGTTTACAAGAAAAAACTAAACGACAAAACTCTTCACATTGTCCTACAAAATGAGTCAAAATAGTAGGTAGAGAAAATTCTTTCGAAAACACACAGAGATAAGAATTTTTGAAACATCAACGTCTTCACAATCAAATCCTAAGTTACGGATCCATTATAATCCACAACGAGCTGATTATATTTCTCTTCATCTTTCCTATTCCTCACAGGACTCTGCAAGATAGGAAGCGGAGAGTCCTTGGGTACAACAGGAAAACAGCACCACAAAATGAAAGCAATGAATGCCACTAGAGTGCCCATGAGGAGAATAAAATCTTCGACTGTCTGAAATATATTTTGTTTGATGTAATGTTCAATTCTATGAGTTATAATGTATACAACTTACTGACCCTTTTACAGATATCAGGGAATTTATTGTCAACATCCTACTTGAGAACACTTGAATGTTAAACAAAGCACCATTTATTCAGTACCATGAAAATTATGAAAAAAAACATATGAAAATTTGTGATATTCAATTTGATATTTCCTGATATCTGCAAAAAGGCTCCTGTTTCAAGTTCTAACGCTAACATATTTTCTCAATTACTATTTGTTATAGAAATAGTAGCTTGGGTAAAGTTACGAGGGTCTTGTTGTCCTGGAAACTTGGACAACTAGATTAGTTGATAAAAGAAGAGTACAGTTTGAAAAAATTAACATCTGCTTTGTGTAGATGCTGTAAAAATTAATGTGTGAATCGAACATTCAATTAATAATGGAACTAACAAAGGTAAATAGGAATACATATTACTGACTCATTACTTTCTTGATATATTAATGTAATTATTTTTCATGCTCCTCTTAATTATAAAATCAGAACATGACTATGTTGTTCGACAAAGGACCCAGCAGTTTCTGAAAATTTATTACTGCAGTACACAACCTTCTGTTCGAAAGTGTTCGTGGAACTATGAATACGAACCACAGCTACAATTAGGTCAAACTGCTATTGAAAGTAAGGTAAGTTTTTGAAACGTACGGAGATTATAACCAAAGAAGATCACGGCAAAACCTGGAAACCAACCAAAACACATATGAGCATGTTTCAGTACAATCACAGTTACACAATGACTTATAAAAACCAAATATTGTGCATATTTTTTCATGTCAAATTGGATATCAATGATTTTTTAAATTTTTTCACTTCTTGTTTTCAATTTTTTGATTTTTCAATTACCTCACTTTCAATATGCATATTAACGTTCAAAGAAGGATAACACTTTCTTTTGTATCTAATTTCCATTCTCTCATGTTTTCAAAATATGTTACGAACTTTTCAGACATATCTCAACTTTTATCACTCTAATGAAAGGTAAAACTGGAACCTCTGCACCAGAAATGCAATACTCTTTTCGCATTTCACCAACAAACTAGACATCTTCACGAGATAGAGATTACTGGATCTAGCTGGTAATAGAATTGAAATTTGCCAAAATTTCAGAAAATTTAAGGGTAGGCCATTTTACATAATGGGTCCTTTGTAAAAAGAAATAATAAACATAAGTTATCAAAATATAATATTGTGACAGAGCAGATGTGACAAACTGCAACTCAGAATATTATCAGACATCAAAATAAAAACATTGAATCATGTCTACATACCGATTCCCCCAAGATTACATTATTCAGAAGATAGAAAAAGTCTTCAAAAGGACTAAACATAACATACGTAGGTTCGTTATTCATTGTCAAGATTTCAGGTATTTTCGATTGAAAATGTGTAGATTATTTTGTACATTTTCAAAAATATATTGCCGTTTTACATTATACTCGATATCAGACACATGTCATTAGTGTTTATCAGTGATGCCACAGCATAAGTAACAATTATTATTACCAATTATATTATAACAATTGTTACCTATGCTGTGGTGATGCCAACATATGCTACTTGTTATATTAGAGAAATAGAGAATGCGCTCAATAATTTTAAGTTTTCAGCAAATTTGTGTATCCATAAAGTTCCCCACTATTTTCACCAACATCCCTAGCAGAACATTCGGAATCAAACAAACACTTCCACTGCAATTTTTTGCAGTAATTTATAGATGAGGGACGTACTCAATTCATATCTTACTATCAAGTAATAATCAAATTATTTGTATTTATAATTTGAAATATGGCTTAGAGAAAGGACATGTATTTATTTTGCAGCTTATTTTAATATTTATAGGTCAAATCCAATGGAAAATTCATACTTTCTCGGCTAGTAATCACACCAGAGCTGGCTATAAATATTCAACTGGTATTTTTGTACGGTTGCTGTCGAATTTTGCGAGACCTTTTCTACATTTGTAACCGTGTGGTAGCATTATCATATATTCCAAAAACTTCAGTGTGTTGAAACGTTATAACACTGAATCAATGTTGATTTAATTTACCTTCAGGGGTACTGTATTTGAATTTCATAAAGGACGCGTTTGAAACGTAAGATTTTTGCTCTGAACGAACTCTAAATTATTCTCCTGTACAGTGGAGCCAACTGAATAGATTTTTAACAAAAGCTACTGTCACCACAGTTGGTTACTAAAGTTGGCAATCCTTTCATTTTATTAGTCCCGTTGTTTTTTTTCTTCATGCAGTTGAGAACGGAGTATGGTAGTGTGTAGTTAGTTATCGTCTGTTGAGTTAAATATGGCCAACTTAATTTTTACGTGTGAGAGTTTATTAGTGTTTTTGACGGTTTATTTGAGTAATGAAACTATACCAGAAATTGAAACTTCTCCATGAAAAACTGAGATGCAGTTTCAACAATATAATATACAAATTTGGAATTGAAATTATTGCAAATGCTAGAGATTGGTGACTTGAGCAATTAATTGGTTCTGGCCAGTCGGCAGTAAAAAGTATTTGTACTTCTAGTTCGGAAATGACACAAACAGAAATGTATAAGAGATAAAACCTCCAAAGCAGCCACATTGCTGTGCAGTAATTTATTAAGAGAACTTATTCCAGCAAGTTTTCTACGTAACTCAAGACTTTCTATATTGAATGTCATGGTAAGAAATTTCCATGGAATACTGTGGCATTATAGACTCATGCCCAAGTCAGGCATCAATGCATTTCTTTGTTGAAATTGATATATGTCATTTGTTATTAATCATGTCAATGTTTTTTTTTTAAGTAATGTTATGACAATTATAGTTCCTGAGTTCAAAACGCTGCAACAAATACCATTAACGACATTGAACTTTTTCAATTAATGTATTATAGTAATTATAGAATGGAGACCATAGAACAGAGCCATATTTTAATTTTAACCTTACGTAAGCTACATAAAGAGTAATTAGAGCAGATATATTTGAAAAATATTTACAATTGCAAACTATAAAGCCATAACCTCTCAATGCTTCACTTACTTTCAATCTAATGTGGTTGGAAAAAGACAAATTTTGATCAAAATATACACCAAGATCTTTAATTGAGTTATAAGCGATATGGGCTTTAGAATGTAATAAAGCAAGACACGAGCACGGGCCAATACAAGGAGACAAGAATATAATAATAATAATTTTTATTGCTTGCTTACATGAATGAAATAAGTTATAATATATGCACCTGAATATGCAGAGGACAAATGATGTACAATAATAAACTCCACATTATTTACAAAACTGTGCGTGGGTGCTTGTTATTTATTCTTCTAAGGGATTCAAAACTGAATATGAACAAAAATAAATTGAAAACTATTCACATATATGGATGAATGCTNATAAAATTAACAGCTACCAACTTTGGAACTTGATTTCGATCTTGGTAACAACAATAGAAACACAATAACTATTAGTTTTATAATGATCATATTCTACGCATAAGACAACGTGCACCAGTTTGTTTCAATTGTTTCAAAGCGCAGTTTATTATAAATTACTCAAGTATTCTCTAATGACTTTTAATTATTCTTGCATGCCATTATATAAATTAGTATAAACTACTGGTAAACATTAAAATCTCATTTAAAA